ATGTAGAAACTTACAGCAGCAGTTATGATATGTGTATAACCCCATCAACTATTTCGCCAACACTGGTCTCTCCATGGACGAACTGAACAGATCCATCGGGATTTTTTTACGTCCCCGTGAAAAATCTGAGGTAATTAATTTGTCAATGTTACTGATACTCAGAAAGTGGTCGTAGAATAAGATAACACGAAACACTGCCCAAATTACCTGATTAAGAGAATAATCAGCACGAAGAGAGCCACGGTGAGCCCAACGATGCCTATAAACGTTGCAACACCATTCAGGCGCACCTGTAATGTATCAACAGGATCCATAATTGGTTTTATTTATTTTCATGTAGTAAGTAAACAATGAAAAGATGAACCGTTATATCCAATAAGTACCTGCAAAGGAGTTTCTTCACCGGTATCTTCTGAAATACAGGCCATCAACAATCCCCATTCGGTGTTGATTCCGACACCAGTTACCTGAAACAGAAATTTGAACTTGTTATAATAATTCAACATCTGAAATTGGAACAGAAATTAAGCGTGGTCGAAAATTCGTTTACTGGAGGTGGGAAAGTTTTATATCTTACCATCATTGTTCCGGCACCAGCTGCTACTTTGCAACCAGACATCAAAAATGGAGATTTGTGGTCTTTGTGGACCTGCAATAATGGCATTGTGTGTGAGAAATAAAAATATAATTATCTAATATTATAGAACCTTCAAAATAAAGTCTAAGCAGCTCACAATCTTGCTTTCTCCAGTCATGTTGGATGCGTCAATGGCGAGAGAATGTCCGCTTATCAAGATTCCATCGGCAGGAACCTGTGTAAAATACATTAGGAGACTTTTTAGACAATGATGCGTGGTCCAAGAAAGTATATCGAGTAAAATCGGATCTGTTATCACCTGATCACCAATCTGGAGAGGTATGACATCTCCAACCACAATCTCGTATAGCGAAACCTTGTTTCTTCTGCCACCTCTGATCATCTGTACATATGTTTGTCCATGAGAGTACTCTAAAGAGAACAATAACAAGAAGGTAAAAGCTTGAATAAGTTCGTGACTGGAATATTACCTCCAATTTGATGTTCCGTTTTTCTTCGTTTAAATTTTGAAACTGGAGGGACTGCCGATAATCACTAGTTGCTGAACAACAGATGCAACAGATGCAATTATATTACTTCTCTCCTAAGGTTATAAATAACCAATCTGAATTTTCTAACCTGTAACAAAAATAACCAGAAGAAAAACAAAGGTGATGCTTCCTCCGTCGTACCATCCTTCCTCCAGGCCCTGGAAAACACGAGCAATTCTTAAATTTATATATGAAGGAAATTATATAAATTCTTTTAATAATATGGTATTGTTTTATTTCAAGCCAACCTCAGTTTTTATTCCGAGAGCCAAAGAGGCCACGGCGGCTATTATTATTAAAATAATGAGAGTTAGATCCTGCCAAGCCTCCCATAGGAATCTCTGCGCAAAAACAAACGTCGAATAATTAAATGGTGGAAATGTATAAGTAAGAACATCCTATCAAACAAATATAACACTCTAGACAAGTCTTACCAAGAAACTCCTTCCTTTTTTCACGGGATACGTGTTTGAGCCGAAAGCATTCTTTCTTCGTGATAACTCATTTTCGTCACCGTGTATCCCTGTTTCGACGTCTGTTTTTATCATTTCTGCCAACCCTTTAACCTGAATAAAATGACGGTCGAGATTAATATTTATGCATATAGCATATGTTAGCAAACTTCCTAGAGAGATGGTGAAGGGAAAAAGGAAGTGTTACCCCTCCATATTGTTGCAGTGCTGTAATATTATGATCCATGTTCATCGAAGCAAGTTGCTCGAGTCCGATTTCATAATCACCGTTAGGAGATGGTGGAGCTACTGTCGTGCCTAATACTGATTTGACGAAAATCAAATCAGGTTTGTAGCAGAGATGGAAATAGGAAAACCCGCTTAAAAAGAAGCAACGCTCGAAAAATACCTATTGCTCGTTGTCTAGCCAACTTAAAGAGCAGTGCAGCCTACAACCACCGACACCAGAATATCAAGAATCGAATTAATAAAAGTACGGAATGAAGACTAATGTGTTTTAATATTACCCTTATGACCTGAGCATGTGCTCTGATCATCCGTCTTCTCTTTTCTTGTTCTTCGTCTTTTTTCAGGTCTAACGTGTAGCGGAAACGTCACGAAGCATTAAGCACGAGGGCGGCTTGCTGCAAAAGGACCAAGACTTAGACAATCAGAAAGAGGTGCACATGCATGTAATTCATCGAATTTCAAGTGATTTTAAATTCCATAACCATAAAAGCAAAAACGATAAATTCGACAACTAATCATTCAACCGTTTAATTTATCCTCCAAACAGAAAAATAAGATGCACTATTATGGGATCGGATCATCGAAACGTCACGTGCATGAAACCAAAACAGAGGCCATAAAAGAATCACCAACAACGACATCACATTTTACGATGAAAACAAACAATTTATTGCATGTGATAATTAAATGCAATACAATAAACAAACACACGCGGGCGAAATCTTACCCTCCAGCGCTTGAGCGATTCATGGGAGGCATTTTTGGTGTTGGCAATGTCGAAAGGATCAGAGAAATCAGGATCGCTGCCCCCATCCACCCCCATCAACGCCAGCGGAGGAGTCGCCGGTCTCCAGGTCGAGGTGCGATGCAGCTTCATTGGCGTAGTCATATCGACGGTGGCTGGGGGAGGAAAAAAAATATGAGTAAGAAACAATTTGTGTTTATTTTTGTGCAAAACTGAAACACCTATTTTTACTTCACCTACAAAGAAGAAGAATCACTGTAGTTGTACAACGCAAGAACATGTATAATACAAACTTTTTCACTCCACCACCGCCGGAGCCATGAATATTTGCGCTAGGCCCGGAATTAACAGAACCACCAGACCCTCCTCTAATAAACACAGTCTTGAAGCCCCTTTTACGGCGCAATTTGCAAATCTGAAACTGACCCACCAAATTAGAATCAGAACTACAAAAACCCTAAACGAAAACAAAAGAAAAAAAGCACAGACAAGATAGATACGTAATTAGAATCAGTACCCATAACGAGGATTTAACATGAGTTTTCCAGTAATTAATGAAAGAAAGTTGAAAGAATCAGTAAAATAAGTAAATTTAGTGTTCTAACCTGTGATAGTAACCAAAGGGTTATCCAAGAATCGCTGTGATAGTAACCAAAGGGTTATCCAAGAATCGGAAAAAGGTTGAATCTTGGAACCGGTTGAATGCGAAGAGAAAAGATGAAAGCTGGTTCTGAAAATGCAGAAAACCCATATATGACAGCCCAGAAATTGAAAGGCAGAAATTGAAGATAGAGACGAGGAGGACGGCGGTGCCGTGGTAGAGGTGCCGGGTGGAGCGGCGGCGGGGCGGCAGACTAATCAACGGCGGAGGTCAACAAATGTTGGCGATGGCAAAGCGGCGTCGTTTCTCAGCAAGCAGAATTAAAAAAAATCGAAAATCAAGCATACACGACACGGTCGAGCTGCTTGGAAATTAAATGGAAAAGAAAATATTTAGACACGCTCACAATTAAATGGGGCAAAAGAAAAGAAGAAAGAAAAGGCAGTAAAAATAAAAGGCAGATCATAACTGAGGTTCATTGAATACGAAGTTTTCTTCCTCACCTGTTTTCTGATTTCTTATTTAGTTTCAATTAAACCTGTTTTCCGGCGATTGGCCAGGCGTTCAAGTGACTTGCTTCAAAACTCGGCCAACAGTCGCACTGCCACCGCCACCGCCACTCCGTTCGTGCCGGCACCTGTTTCGACGCCGCCTCGGTCGATCCTCGTTCACCGTGAGTTTCATGTTCATTAGCTCTATTGTTCCTTTTCGCCTTCGCCTTTCCATTGTTACTACTGTTTTTCTTTTTGGCCTTTGAATATCTGATTGTTACTACAATTAAATTCGGGGTTTTCTATTATATTCATATGTAACTGCTTAAATTTGGGAATTTCTTCAGCTGCCCATTTTGTCGGAAGGTATCTTCAATATCAGTTGCGCATTATAGTTTTATGACCTTTGCGGGCACTGACTGATGTTTCGTTTTTTGTTACAGGTTTGAGAAATTGTTCCAGTATTGGATCTTGACGTGCTGTATTATCCCTCTCCAAGAAACGGCCCGAATTTCCGGGCCAAGGGACCTCAAATGGGTGGAAAACAACAGTTCCCTTACATGGTTAGACACTCGTGTTGTTCGAATAAATCATCCTCTGTTTTTACTCATCGTGCAATTTCTGCGAGGTTAAAGCTTCTTGTTTGCTTCTTCTTTAGGTGGAATTGAAAATTTGAATCGTTATGTACGAATCAGATGACGTAATTAAGTATTTGGTCGGGAAATATGGTATGTCCAAATCCAAATCGTTTATCACATGCAATAAATCGTTTGTTTTCATCGTAAAATGTGATGTCGTTGTTGGCGATTCTTTTATGGCCTCTGTTTTGGTTTCATGCACGTGACGTTTCGATTACCCGATCCCATAATAGTGCATCTTATTTTTCTGTTTTGAGGATAAATTAAACGGTTGAATGATTAGTCGTCGAATTTATCATTTTTGCTTTTATGGTTATGGAATTTAAAATCACTTGAAAGTCGATGAATTACATGCATGTGCACCTCTTTCTGATTGTCTAAGTGTTGGTCCTTTTGCAGCAAGCCGCCCTCGTGCTTAATGCTTCGTGACGTTTCCGCTACACGTTAGACCTGAAAAAAGACGAAGAACAAGAAAAGAGAAGACGGATGATCAGAGCACATGCTCAGGTCATAAGGGTAATATTAAAACACATTAGTCTTCATTCCGTACTTTTATTCATTCGATTCTTGATATTCTGGTGTCGGTGGTTGTAGACTTTTTCCCTTCACCATCTCTCTAGGAAGTCTACTAACATATGCTATATGCATAAATATTAATCTCGACCGTCATCTTATTCAGGTTAAAGGGTTGGCAGAAATGATAAAAACAGACGTAGAAACAGGGATATATGGTGACGAAAATGAGTTATCACGAAGAAAGAATGCTTTCGGCTCAAACACGTATCCCGTGAAAAAAGGAAGGAGTTTCTTGGTATAACTTGTCTAGAGTGTTATATTTGTTTGATCATATGTTCTTACTTATACATTTCCACCATTTACTTATTCGACGTTTGTTTTTGCACAGAGGTTCCTATGGGAAGCTTGGCAGGATCTGACTCTCATTATTTTAATAATAGCCGTTGTGGCCTCTTTGGCTCTCGGAATAAAAATCGAGGTTGGCTAGAAATACAACAATACCATATTATTAAGAGAATTTATATAATTTCCTTCATATATAATTTAAGAATTGCTCGTGTTTTCCAGGGCCTGGAGGAAGGATGGTACGACGGCGGAAGCATCACCTTTGCTGTTCTACTGGTTATTTTTGTTACAGGTTAGAAAATTCAGATTGGTTGTTTATAACCTTAAGAGAGAAGTAATATAATTTTCACTTTTTATCATTGCATCTGTTGTTCAGCAACTAGTGATTACCGGCAGTCCCTCCAGTTTCAAAATTTAAACGAAGAAAAACGGAACATCAAATTGGATCAAAATGAACATATGCACACTTGATTTGATTATTTGTTGACTTTGCAACTACGATTGATTTTCTTGCTCAGCGATTAAGAATGGTTGATCTGAAGCTAGGACTCCGGAAATGAGAAATCAATTGGATATTATACATTTTTTTCCTTTTGGCAGACGGAGATGCATATATTTCGTCCGGTTAATTTAATTTCCTTAAAGTTGTTGGAATTTTTGTTTGTGTCAATATGATGCTTTTTAATGGAGGATTGAGTATCAAGGAGATAGCTATTTACTCATTCATTATCTGGATATTATACTATTATGGAGATTAACCATTTTCATTGGTTTTGTTGTTGCTCGTCTTCCTCCGATTTTTTGAACTGCATTTTTTAACTTTAATACGGTCCTCGGTGTCTTCTTCAAGCATCATTTCAAACTTATATTGACAGCTCATGGTGATCTTGTGAGTGAGAGCATTTTCAGGTTTGAAGTTCATTTGTATATTTCCTAAAATCTGCCTTTCTTGTTTCAATTGTTATTAGAATCTCCTTTGTTGCAATCTTCTAGACCGTTCAAGGTTCAACTTCGTGCCCTGCCTGGATAGGTTTGCAGAGGTAGCTCTTTAATGTGACTCATATTCTCAACAGTATAAATTGTTTAAAACTTTGCACCGCACAATTTTTCTTTCTCCTTTATTTTCGTTGTATATTCGAGTGCAATCAAACAGACAACTCCCATTTATTTTCACTTTTTTTTGGCGCTTTCTTCTCCGTGGACGAAGGCGATAGTTAGAGCAAGGGATATCCGACTACAAATGTTGCATGGGTTGATTTCAAGAAACTCAATAAAATCCTTGGAGTTGCACACAAAATTGGCTGATTCCTATAAAGAAGTTGTTGCCAATCTGAATATTGCCAACGCTCAACAGGTTCCTCTAAACCTTTCCACTCGCACAAAATTTTCGCTCTTGTTTTCTAGTTGTGCTGGTTTATGCAATGCAATTATCCTGCTTGTTTATGCAATTCTTTAGTTGTTTTTGTTCTTTGCTGCTCCGATTCTTGTTTTTTGCTATCATGATATTGTCTGCTATATTGGTTAGTGAAATTTGCAGCCTAACTAGAAATTGTAGAAATTAGCTCAGTTCGAGGATACTATATTGAAACAGTTCGACTCCAAACAGGTTAATGGTTGCGCTTTTGCCATATATACATCTCTTCAATCCCTACTCTAATATTAGTTTTTGTTCGCTGTGACGTTTCTGTATATTTTTTATTTTTTTGGTTATCTGGCCTTCACATCTTACTTCACTCTGGCGTTTCCTTCACCCTTCACCCGTAGATCAGTTCTTATTTGGAGTGCATTCTGCATCCATGGTTGCAGGGGAAAAGACGGCAGTCCTCGTTCGTCATCTGTGATCATGGATCTGCAATTCCTTTGCAACATGATCCTCTTTCGAGTACTGTATTTTGCACCTTTTGCGGGCCACTGCTTTTGCTACTTTTCATTTAGAATTTGTTTAATAGACACACATCGAAAGTTATGGACTGTGACTCGAAGTCTAATGTTATTTTGTGATCGAGGCTAGGGTGCCTCTGATTGGTTGGATTCTGAGTATTGTAGTGCCGAAAAACTTAAAATTGGATAGGTTGGAAATTCGTTCAATAACGAGTGTGAATATATGTAACTTCTGATATCGTTTCTTTCAGGGTGGTATTTTTTAATGAGTTACTGAAGAATTGATCATTTTATACCTAAAGTTAGTTTCATTTTAGTAATTCGTACTTATGATTCTTATGTTGAATGCCAGGTTTCTTCTTAAGCCATATGTACTAGGTTCGGAGCTGTTGGTGCAAACTTGGTTTGGCCTGTGCGTATTCTGATGATTATATCCTATCTTATTTCTTTTCCAATCGGAAAGGTAATTTATATATCGCCGAAATGAAATCTCTCTTTACATGTTATTCTGTACTTCTATAGACCTGAGTTCGGCGATTAATAATACTTCGGCAAAACAATCAACAAATGCGCTCGTGCAGTAAAACAAATTGAGAATCTATTATGGTAGTTTACTATTGATGGAATACTAATGTTTCTGAAAGTGCAAACCATAAGATATATATAGCTGAAATTATATTAAAGAAAGCCTTACCTACTGTCCAAAACAGCAACACCACATTTAACATGCTTGTTAATAATATCACATAATAGAATAAGAGGTGGACTAGATTTTTTGAATCGAAGTTATCTGGATGTTGGATTTAGCAACCAGGCTGTACAGTGTTTTTTTCCATTTTATTTTTTGTAAAGACTGATCCATAACTGAAGAATTATATAGTTGATACTTTTCGAATTTTGTAAATTGTTTTTGGCAGAAACAACTGGTTCGAAGACATGTTGCACTAGGCAGGTTAGATCTCCGTTGCGAGAAATCATATTCCTGCATCAAAATTTCTTGGTACTTGCTTAAAAAATGTAAGGCTTCAATAATTTATACTTTTACTTTGTGTGTGTATATGTATATGCATGTTGCCTTGTGTTATTACTCATTTATTGGGTTGATCATATATATCAGGTCTGGAAATATGTGGAGTGGCTGCGGATTGAGGTGGGCTAATTATCTAAGGCATTAACATTTCATTCTATGTCGATTGAAAAGCTTAAATGAAGCAAAAAACTCCTTTCAAATTTGTTTCCAACAAAGTTAGTTGCAGCCGATTTTGACTATTTCTTCGGTCCTTTTGTTTTCTTGGAATTATGGAGTAGACGGTGTATGCCATTATCTTCTTTCTAATAAATTCTTGCTTTCTTTATATCTAATGGAATATAATGGAGCTTGCTTTGTTTCTGTTGAACTTTTCATATAGTTGTGACCATTTTTTCTACTTCTTGCATGCTTGTTTGATTCCTGTGGGAGTTAGATTCCTCTGGTAATAGTTGGACTTTAAAAGAGTGAATTATTTATGTCTATATCTCTATGTTCGTGTTTTTTTCAATTATTTAGTTAATTTTGACTCGATAGTTAATTCTAAATGTATGATGATAGGAGTCACAACATGGGCTTCAAATATAGGATTTAATCTAATCAAATGCTATTTTCATACTTCGACTGAATTCATGTTGACATTCTTAATTGAAACTTTGCTAAATAACACAATGAAAAATTACTTTTTTTCTTTTTTTTCTGATTGTCTTTAGGCATAATATTTTGCCCTGGTACTTTGGCTTTATACGAGAAAATATGCTACAAAACTACCTCATTGATTTCAAATTGTTGCAACTCTATTGACCTTCTTGCTGGACAAAGAGCCGAAGTTTCAGTCATCTTTCCAATCGCTCCACTGAAATTGCAAACCAACGCGTAAGGCCTGTTGGTGATCTCCGATGCGTAAACCCTAATTTCGTCGACGGAAGACTTGATCAAGTCGATAAAAACCTTGATCGCTTTGACGTATTTAATCATATCATCCAAACAAAGATTCAAATCGTCCGAAATATCCGCCACCAACGCAGTGTGCTTCTACTCCTCCTCAGCAATAATCTCGTGTGACTCATTTACAAAAATCCGCAATACCATTTAAAATCTTATGATTTACGATTCAAATCTTACGATTCAATCCGTTTATACCTAAGTCAATTCAAAAGTTAAAATAAAAGGCAGATCCCCATACTTATAATTAATATATATATATATATATATATATATATATATATATATATATATATATATATATATATATATATATATATATATATAATAAATCAGTGTGTTGAAAAGTAAGTACATGTTAACCATCTTTTCTCTTTTAAATTGCAAAAATATCACTCTAATTATAATTTATTAGGCAAATTACAGGAAGATCCCCCAAGATAAGATTAAATTAAGAAAAAAATCCTTACTCGAGTAATTAATTAACAAACCACTCCTAAATATTTATCATTTGAAGAAGGGTTTTTTGCAAAATCCACCCCTGTGAAATCTCAAATGGCTAAAAAAGTCCCCATGTTAAAAATATTAGCAAAAACCCCCCTGTGAAAATTAGTCAAAGCCAGAAAGGCCCCTGCGGGCTGATTGTGTGTTACACGCGCTGTGTGTGCGACTCTTTGTTATATTTTTTGTCATGAAAAGTCCCAAATGCCCTCTAAAATTATTTTATAACTGAACATAAATTTATTTGGATTTAAAAATAAATAATCCAACTTTTTGGATGAAATTGCAATTTAAAAAAATTTCTTTACACAGCTTTTTCCCAGCACCATTTCATCGTCACCATCAAACCATCCTTCCAATAGTGCAACCCATTCTCCCTACCAGGTACCTCAATGCTGCCGCCACATCGACGACTATCGGTGCTCCAGAATTTATCGGAATCTTCATCAAAAGCGAATTCAAGTCTAAAAGCCCAACTTTAGGGTCAGAGGTTTTGGGCTTTCTTCAACATAGAGAAAGAAGAGGGCCAAGATTCGATTTTCAACAGGGCCGCCCTAACCCTTGAGACAGAGAAAGAAGGGACCAAATTCCAGATCCAATTTTATTTTTTTATTCCGGATTTTGGGATTTTGGAACAAAGAAGATTCACCCATATACACAGGGGTAGAGAGTTAATTTGTGAGTGTAGCTCCACCATGGAATCCGCCGCCGGTTTGCATCGCCACACCTACCCCGATGCTGGTTGAACCTCCGTTTTTCTGCGGTCCTTATATTAGGGGGACAAAGAAGATTGTTGGAATTTTATTAGTTTTTTGGGAAGATATGAAGGAGGGGACGGAGAAGAGGATGTAAGTGGAGGGGAGGGTGTACAACGACAAAAAGAGGGAGGAGGAAGGAGATGGAGAAAAAAACAAATGAAAAATAAAGTTCTTGTCGGAGAAGATGACCGGAACAAGAATCCCACCCAGAAGATGGACCGTAGGAGGATATGTTTTTGGGATTTGAATATTTTACATTATTATTATTTTTTAATTACTGGTAGTTTAGTAATTTCACATGGGTCAACAGCTAATTTTAAAATAAGGGGCAGTATACTTTGTCAAAAATAACATAAGGACTTTCTTGTTAATATTTTTAACACAAGGGTCTTTTTAACCATTCGAGATTACACAGGGGGTTATATGCAATTAGCTCTTTGAAGAATGTACGGGCTAAAGGAAATACATCATAGAAGATTTTTTGTTATTATTAATAATAAGTAATAACACGTGAACTTTTTTAGCAATTCAAAAGAACATATCGAAAACATCAATTCTCGTCTTTCTTTAAATATCCAACATCTTACGAAACCGATGCATGTAGAAAGAAACATACCATAAGAACTTGTCAAGAGACAAGATAGCTCATTGGTAAGCACCTTACATAATATTTAGCCATAGATTCAAGATATCAGGAGGAAAATCAGGAAACAAGTAAAAAAAGAAGAAAAAAAAAATACCATAGGAACTTCTTTTTCCTTTTCGAATTAGTATTTTTAATTAAAAGATTGAATTTAATTAAAAGATTGTATTTAAACTTGTTCAAATTGGGTTTGATTTGAGGGACTCATAGCATAACCTTCATATTGAATAATTACAAACACCCGTCAATTATGTATTTAAGTTCTCATTGATAGTCAACTTTGTATGTACCTCACGAGTTTATTGCGTTTAGGTTTCCACTCCGAGTAATTAACTTTGTAGTCACTCCTTAAAATGTATCATTTGAAGAATTACTTGCTAGAAGAAATACATCGTAGAAGATTTTTTGCTAGTATTAATAATAACACGTGATTTGTCTAGCAATTCAAAAGAACATATAGAAAACACCGAAACTTAGCTTGTCTGTCTTTAAATATCCAATAACTTACGAAACCGATGCTTGCAAGAAAGGAACATAACATAGGAACTTATCAAGACAAGATAGCTTGTTGGCAAGCACATTGCATTGCAGACTATTTAGTCATAGGTTCGATACATTAGAAGGAAAACCGAGAAACGAGAAAAGAAAGAAAGAAAAAGAATACCATAGGAACTTCTTTTTCCTTTCAAATTATTATTTTTATTTTCAAAACTATAAAATTATTTCAATTATTTAGTTAATTATAACTTATCAAACCAATCAAACGATGCCTAAGATGTCTTCATAATTTGGGGAATGAAAATAAAAAAAAAAAAAAAAAATACGTAGATTAATGCTAAAATATAGCTCACCTAGGGTGGTGTAGAAAATGAGCTGGGAGAGCAAAGCAGATCAGTAGCTTGACAACTTGATGGTCCTGAGGTCCCTGCAAAATGAGCACACATGAACTAAGCCAGGGGTTGATCCGGCGGAAACCCCTCCGACGCTCAAGTCAGACATGCTGATAGTAGAAATAGTCCAAAGAATACGTATTGTGGTATTGCTCAGTTAATAGGACGTACCTTAATAAAATGAGTAAAACCTCTATTTATATGTCGTTTATTGGGTTGGGTTTGCTTTGTTGGGCCCAAGCCTTACTTGAAGGTGTTTGGGCCTCGGTGATATTAGTCTTCAATATTGGGCTCGTAGCCCAGTAGGTAAATAATTTGTAGGCCCATTGGGTTGGGCCAATTAGGCATATCATTAAGCCCCCCACTCTCGAGTCGATGTGGGGGCAATGTTGAAATGGGTGACATATCGTGTCGAGAGTAAAAATTGTAGTAGTCGATGGTGTGCGATAACGCGTTGGAGCGTGTGTCGGAGGGGCGTGAATGCGCGTTGGCGCATAGCGCGACCAAGTTGTCGCGATGTAAGTTAATTGAGTCGTCGGTTTTGTCCCACGACGATGTAGTAGCGAATTATCTCCTCGTGGGAGTTGTCTCATCGCGGGGTAATAGTGTTGATCGAGTTATCTCCTCGTGGGAGTTGTCTCGCGATAATGTAATAGCACGGATCAAGTAATCTCCTCGTGGGAGTTGTCTATGGGGTAATAGAGTTGTCGAATTATGTCCTCGTGGAAGTTGTCTCACGATAATGTAGTAGCACGGAGCTAGTATTCTCCTCGTGGGAGTTGTTATTTTTCGACATTGTCGATGTTTTGACGCGTTGCTTATATGTGTTTACATATAGCCTTGTGCGTGATGTACTTGAGGAGGGGATCAGACTCTCAAGATTTTTTTTATGGGGGTCGTGCCCCTTGTTAGACCTCGTGGGTCTTAAGTGTGTTTGGACCGTGGCCACGTTTTAATGAATAACCCATCTAAAACAAGTAGATAAATTTGAGTAATCAAGTTGGCCAGGCTATATAGATTCTCATAATATCTCTAAGTGCTTCTAGGGTTGTAATCGTGCTAACTTAAGCTTGCGATTATATAGTGAATTTCGGGCGAGTTGCCTCCTCATGGGAGTTGTCTCGCGATGAATAATATTATCGAGCGAGGTGGTTGCAGTGGGAGTTGGCTCCTCGTGGGAGTTATCTCGCTGAGGGTTCGTAGTACCGAGCGAGTTGGCTCCTCGTGGGAGTTGTCTCGCTGCGGGTTCGTAGTACGGAGCGAGTGGTCTCCTCGTGGGATTTTCCTCGCAAGGGGTTGTAGATCCGAGCAAGTTGTCTCCTCGTGGGAGTTGTCTCACTGCGGGATGTAGAAAGAGCGAGTTTGCTCCTCATGGGAGTTGTCTCACTGCGGGATGTAGGACAGAGCGAGTTTGCTCCTCGTGGGAGTTGTCTCGCTGCTGGTTGTAGAACCGAGTGAGTTTGCTCCTCATGGGAGTTGTCTCACTGCGGGTTCGTAGTACCGAGCGAGTTGGCTCCTCTTGGGAGTTGCCTCGCTACGGGTTGTAGGATGGAGCGAGTGGTCTCCTTGTGGGAGTTGTCTCGCTTTGGTGTTGAGACCCGAGGGAGTTGGCTCCTCGTGGGAGTTACCTCGCAACGGGTGGTAGTACTGAGCGAGTTGGCTC